CATCGATAAGGAAATGTTGGCAGTTTTCTCAAAAAATGCTTGAATTCAAGAAGTTTTAGATTTGCGTGGTTTTTTTTGAGTTGCAAAATCCACTTTGACGCTGCTTTTTTCGAAGTTTCTCAAGAACCATTGGAGCCAGACAATTCGTGTTGGCATCGTTTTATAGAGAATTAAATGGGGGGGGGTCATGACCCCCATGACCCTCCCTGGATCCGCCTTTGTCCACATAAATATTAATTTATATGTTTTTTGTTTGAGTTTATTGAGTTTTGTGGTTTGATATCGAATGTGTGATTGTGTTCGATTGTGGTTAGTTCTAAGTTTGTAGCGTGTTTTTAGTTGGTGGTGGGTTCTGTTCGGCATGCTTTGTTTATGTTGCATGGCTTTTGTTACTGAGGTTTTCTTCTGTATAATGCCAGGAAATTTCTACAATATATTAATTTAGTAAGATGCCCATGCCAGCAAGCAGCTAATATGGAGAGAATTTGTCGCAATGGCATGCCGATACTGGAGCTGGCGCATTCTTATACCTACTACAAGTTTCGGTAAGTTTCAAAGCTTAACTCCCGAAAAATTATTCTTCAAAAACCGGCGTTTTTTAGTTGGTAATAATCTGTCGGATTTATCGGATAATCGGAATTATAAGTTTCTTGTTTGTCTTGTCTCTGCCCAAGGAATATTTTCCGCACAAAATCAGTACTTCTCCACTTTCGAAGAAATCAACAACCTTTGTTGCCTAGAAACCCTCCCTGGTGACGTGCTTTTCCGGATACACATAAACCTGATCGACCAATCGCTTGTCGACCCTTTGAATATCAGACATGTACCATGGCAACGAGTAAATACGAACCCATCAACTTTGAATTCAGCTGTCAGTAAAACAGTATTTATTGAAATTGAAGTTTTAAATTAACCGGTTTTTACACGTTCGTTTTGGAAAAAGTGTCTTATTTGTCCGAAGTGCCTCTCGAAGGTTTGAAGGACCCGAAAATGTGACTTTAAGCTAGAAAATTAGCGATTGTAAAGGAAATGTTGACGATTTTTGCGACTTAAATCGTTGGCAGGATATTAAGGGTGGGAAGTTTTCAAATTGAGACCCGATATATTGGAAAACAAGAGCATTCGACAGGGTGACCAAGGTAAGAGTGCATTACATCTGAACCTTCTAGCATGTTTTTTAATGAGTGCGATGCATTCCTCGCGTCCGTGAGCAAATGATGTAAAATTTGAGACTTTTGAGAAAATTTACATTTTTTCAAAAAATCGAACTCCCACCCTTGATGGCTTCGAGAATTTGATGTTCCTTGCATTAGTATAAAAATAAAGTTCTTGTTTAACCGTTCCGCTTTGTTTTTATTGGTTTACCCCGTTCCAATTTACTTGGCGCCAAGCCAAAACTGGCGATTTTTACGTACGTTTGGTGATATTCGTCCGATAGTTGGCGACACCGTCATTTCTCAGTCTGGCCACCCTGCTTGTCTCTGGTCTGTGGATCAAAAAACCTAACCTTATAGTAAATCAAAATATCTTCTCTGTGAGTCACTGAAGAAAACAAATAAGAGCATCTTTCGCTCCTTTAAGCTCGTATTCCGGTTTTGCAATTATTCAAAACGTCGGTTTATATGTTCGAAACTGAATCCAGTACCATGTCGGGAAAGACGACGATCAAAGGGAATCCGTCCCAATATGTGAAGTTAAATGTTGGGGGCTCTTTGCATTACACCACTATTGGCACCCTAACGAAGCATGATACCATGCTGCGGGCCATGTTTAGTGGGCGAATGGAGGTTCTGTCGGATTCCGATGGTGAGTGTCCAAGAACCAGCTACTAGTAGCAGAAGTACTTTCTTTAACAAAAAAACCTCCCGTTCTTCTTAGCCATTTAGTCCATTAGTCGAATCGTTCTATTAAATCATCAACCATCCATAATTTATTACCGTCAAATTTCCAATTCCAATACCATCAAATTCCTTTCTTATTGATAAGATAGTACGCCAGTTTATTTCTATCGCTTTTGTGATATGTGGGTTTTTCCTCCACTACTTAGGCTGGATTCTAATAGACCGATGCGGCAAACACTTTGGCACCCTGTTAAACTTCCTCCGAGATGGAAGCGTTTCCTTGCCAGAATCAAGCAGGGACACCGCAGAACTGCTAGCAGAAGCAAAGTACTATTGTATTGAAGAACTAGCTGAATCGTGCAATAAGGCCTTGCATAAAAAGGAGCGCGGCGAACATGATCCTATTTGCATGGTAATTCCCTCCGGCCTCCAACACAAGCTTTGCCTAACTAATTTTCCTGTAGGTTCCACTGATAACTTCCCTCAAAGAAGAGGAGACATTGATCAGCTCCAACTCAACCAAACCGGCGATCAAACTGCTGATTAATCGCCACAATAACAAATATTCGTATACTTCAACCTCAGACGATAATCTGCTGAAGAACATTGAACTGTTCGATAAACTGTCCCTATGGTACAGCAATCGGGTGATGTTTTTAAAGGATGTCATCAGCACAGGCGAGATTTGCTGCTGGATATTTTATGGGCATGGGAAAAAAGTATGTGAGCGAAAACCCATAGATTACATCTACAACTCTTGAGTACATTGCAGGTGTCTGAAGTGTGTTGCACTTCGATAGTTTACGCCACCGATAAAAAGCACACAAAGGTGGAATGTCCAGAAGCGCGCATCTACGAGGAAACACTGAATATTCTGCTGTACGAGAACCGAAATGCCCCCAATCAGGAGCTGATGCAAGCGACCTCAACAAGGGCAGCCGTAAGCGGCATGTCTTCTTACACGAGCGACGAGGAGGAAGAACGCTCAGGTATAGAACGCTTGAGGTCTAATAAAAGTAGCAACACCAGCTGATTTATCAGGAAAAGTAGGTCTTTGCCAAAATCCAAGCATTGTTAATCTATTTCATTTCATTATACAGCACAACTTTTATAATCCAATGACAAACTCAACTGGATGAAGAATTATCAGTTGCGAGTTAAAGCGTTATCGTCTAGGTATTTTCGCGGTTAAAAAAATGCGATAAAGATTATCAAAGTTGTACTGTGTTTATTAAATTAATCTATTCTTCTACTTCACTTTTAGCACTGTGTTTATAATGTGTTTTTAACGGGGTTTAGAGCGATGTTAAGCAGAAGTGGGTCCTTTTTCAGGTAAATTCTGTTCTTGATGGGCTTAGATTTAATATCGGGAATTGGATCGGTGTTAAAATAACGGTGGTTCTTCAAATTTCCGATATTTTGCCGTAAATCTCCACAAATTTGCGAAGCAGCATTTTTTGTTTGCAAAAGTGTGTTTTGTATTTTCGTGCTTTTGGTTGATAAATTAAAAAATGTAAATCGTCGGCAATTTTAAAGCGCAGACTTTTCTGTTATGTTGATCCAAATCCCCATAAACACAAGAGTGGTAAAAGCTGCATCGTTACATTATATTTATCGTTTAACGTTTTATTCCTCGGATGAACAGTTTTGAGATTGAAAACCATCACAGTTTTCGAATTTTGTTCGCACAAGCCTCAGTCTAGTCATTGAGCTGATAAATGTGGGCTTGGCTGCAAAACTAGAGAACCTTGAGTATCAGGGTGTTAATAGACTATAAATAACTATAACTAGCCGTTTAAAATATAGGAAAACCATGGAAGGATAGCCAAATTATAGGCAAGTTGATGTATGTGTTTATTATAAACCTTGTAGTTGGCTATTCAAAGGCACATACTCTAATGTGGAGTTTGGTGCAGTTTTTACAGTATTACATGAACCGTTTTATTCAAGATAATTGATTAATAGCATTTTAATTATCATGCTACCGAGCAGAGCACTTTTCAAAGGTAGTTTCCCCTGTATGTCCAAACTAACGACTGAGTCACTGTTTGTTGTAGTCTAACGTTTATCAAATCCGCAATTCATTGACTGACTGGTTTATACGGCGTAAGGACTAGATGTATGTACCTCCCCATCGCATTAATTCGTGTACTGTAATGTTGATGTTAGCATGTGAATGTTGGTCCTTTCCTTTCAATATCTGTGCTTAAATTTGATGTTTCTAAACAGTGCTCAACGCAGGCGTTTTATCAAATCCACGAATAAATCACAATCAATTTTTTTGTCTAATTGTTATATCGTTTCGATGTTTAGCAGCTTTCTGACTTGGTGCATTTGTATGTGTGTTTCAGCGGTAAACTGAGCCTGGCTCTCCGTTGCCATCCACCAACCCCGTTCTCCACCAACACCACCCATTACCGCCCAACAATACCCGTTGTCTTGTCCGCCTAACCGTTTGACCGGAGCTTTTTTGCCGTTCATGTCTTGTGTTATGCGTTGCTGGTATCCGCGTCGCATGTTTTTGTCTCGCCGTCGGAACGCTTCTAATTAGGTAGGTAACTTATCCACATTAAACCAGAGACTACTTGCAAAACCCCCATATAACGAACGTCGCTGTAATTGATACATTGTGCCCCTAGCGTATGTTTAGTAATACTGTGATGTTAATATTGTAGCATTATTTATTTTTAATATAGGTCAATGATAACTGAAATGCTGCGAGCTTCTGTACTAAATAGACACGTTGAAACCATATGTGACTTTCGTCTGCACCCTGTAGCGATTTTTATAAAAATCTTTTATTTCAAACTTAATACAATTTGGCTTAACCCACTACGTCTACTATATATTCTAACTTTTGGCATCGACACTTTGGTAGTTTTGCTTCCATATATCTTCTGGATCCCAAGTGAATATTACCGTGAGTTTTAAAATGTTCAGCGGTCTAAAACGCACAGTCCATTCAAATTAGAACCAATAAATAAATCAGCGGTTGAAGCTGAAAACAAATTTGAAAACATTCCTAACTAATAATCAACACAGTATAAAATGAATACATAACAATATTTCAATGTGTTCCTGTAACTCAGTTTTCCACACCTAGACGTCGAATATTTTCCCAGATGAGCCTAAATTCTAATAATTTCGCTACAATGTACACACATTTACTAATTTAAACTACACGGCTAATAATTCCATTTTTTTATGTAACCAATGGACATCTGAATACATGCAAAAAATATATTTTCTCTAATCTGAATATCTAGCAATGCTGCTTTAAAAACGTTTTATTAGATCGATATAAGCGTAATAGTCTTGCTATTCCAGGTCTTATCTAATACAGTTGGGTTTTATTTTGGCATATTTGAGCGTCTTATTTATACATATACGAATGTCTGGAATCGTTATTTTTGTAGAAAATTAAAGACATCTTTGATAAAGTTGACTGGAAACCATTCGATTAAGATATTTTCTCTGCTGCCTGTTTGGTAAGGGCAAGATTAATTTTTTTAAAACTTACTGAATATACTATGGGCTATACTTTGCTTAAAGCTAACACCCGTTGATTCATACGTACAATAACGTTATATAACTGCTCATTGTAATGTATAAATCAACTATAAATCCTAACATTATTATCACACCTATTTAAAAATAACTTCCGTAGATGCACAATAGTCTTTGGTAATCGTCTTAGATTGGTAAAATATTGAACGTTTCCTTATGGAATTGGTACCATTTTTTTGGAAAATAGCCAATTTAATGCGAACAACTTTTTCGGTGATTTAAATACGTGATAGAAAGGAGGGAGCTCTGGAATGTGAGTTCGGTATTGTCATTCGTAATTTAAAAATTTAAAGGCTGCTAAATAGGCCAAATGTTCGATGTTATATCAATTGAAATATCCAGAGCTCATCACCCAAAAGTGTTTGTCAACTAGTTCGGAACTTCGCTGAAGAATGTTTCTAGTCACTAAACGAATTGATAGTGGAATTGTGTCTGGTTTTTCTACTTCCCTCCTCCAGGTCGGCATTGGGGTTAATACTTTGGCTGAGTGCGATGGTTTTGGGGAAATCGATCAGTGCGTAACTTTTCTTTTGCAACGTTGGACTGCCCTGAGCGCCGGCCGTTTGGGTAACTGTTGCTTGCGACGACGTCCCTGCAAAACACGTTTAATGCACATAACGAAAAAAAAAACGGGAAACAGATCAGTTTACCTGCGTTTCCATTCAGGTCGTTTTTCACCTGATCCAGATCCAATTCCGCGTAATTCACTTCCGGTATACCGGCGTGCTCTGTTTCGTAAGCAGTCGGTGTGCATGGCACGCTGTTACTCATATACATTTGTGCGGAATCCTTGTTGGGAATTGCAACGTTACTAACTGAGCTGTGCTGTTGCTATAAAAAATCACTTTTCCCATGTACCTACACCTAAAACACTTAATTTCAACCATACCTGTAGGGCGTGTATACTGTCCACATCTCTTGTATCAATGTTGGCGTAACAGTGCAGTTCCTCACGCACACTGTTCCCGATATCTTTGGTGTCAACGTTCACGTAAACATGACAATTTGCCTCTAAAAATCACACAAGTTTGTTTGATTAGTTTTTTTTAAGGTACAGTGGATAGTGTGATCTCACGAGAGAAAGTCGTTATTTACTTTAAATTTAGCCGACGACTTTATGAAAAAACGCTTGTAAGTGTCCTAAAACCTTACACAAAAGTGTGCGTGTTAAGCGATATGGAAACCTTCGGTTTCGAAAAAAGAGTTTGCTTCTCGTGCCTTTAAATAAAATGACACTCACCTACATCTCCAGGACCAACATTGGCATAATTCAGAGGACTACTAATCCCATTTTCCACTATGGAGCTGTGGCGCTTGTTATTGTTGTGCTCCAATGGAAAAGCCGACGTTAAAACCGGAGGTGGCGATAAAGCAGTCGGACTTAGGTGCCCGCCGTTACTGAAAACGCAGTTGCTTAATTTCAAGTAATTAGTATTTTTGTGTTAGTACCTTGAAATGGAGCCCGGCCTGCTTAAGACTCCGGCATGCGATCTGAAAAATGCCCGTAAAAACATTGTCAATATTAACGCGAGATTGTTACCGTATGATCGGTTGTGCAGGATTGAGATGGGTGGCATCTGCGATTGCTGGAAGCAAATGACCATCTGGTCGTCTTTGTACAGGAGGGCCCGAAGATGCACCGAGGACGGAAAAATCGATGTTGTTCTGATTCGGGTTGTGCACCAAGTGGGAATTATCACCGCTCATCACATTTACATCCTGAACTCCACCTGGAAACATTCCTTTTATTAGGAAAAGCGCGCAAGTTTAAACTCAAAAAACCTACCAATAATATGTAGTTGAACCAACTTAAACAGCTGCTCACACTTTATACATTTGAACGCAAAGTAACCAGGGCCTGTAGGGCTGCGCCTGCCGCACTCTATACTGAAAACGCTCCGATCTAAATCAAAGCCATATCTTCGCAAAGACCGTAGAGGCCACCGTGTAGGGTTACTGCCTTTCTGATGCCAAATCAATTCAACGTCAGTAACCTGCAAAATTCGCGAAATTGAGCAAAACGACATTGAGAAAGCTGTGAAAACTTACCTCTAGTTTGCCTCGATTTACTGGCCTGTCGCGATCATCGACGTTTATCACATGAAAAATGTTGGGATGCGTGTCGTTGATGTCTGCTTTGCTATTCACGCAACCCATCTTCACATAAAGTAGATTCGTTGTCTCAAAAAGGCCTAATCACCAAGGCAAAATTGTACTGAAAATGACCAAAATTTGAGCGATTTGGATGCTTAAAATTTCAGTGTAACTCGGCAATGTTTGATTGATTTCATTACATTCAAGTCTAGCGGAAAACTAGACAGCAGCAAGAGGTCTGCAAAGGCAACTTGCCTTATTTAATTAAGTAAATTGATGGTGAGTCACATATTTTCAAAATGCATTTGAGACATTGAGCCCATCAATCATCATTCATTTTCGGGGAATATGGAGATTAATTGTTGGAATGAGTGCGGTTTAGATGTTCTCACCGCAACTGAGTGTTTGAGATTTTTACAATATTACCCAATTATAGTTAATAAGTAAATATAAACAAAAGGACCAAGGTTAGCCCTATCAAAACATGCTACCTCTAAATGAAGCGATGTTCCTTTCGGCATTGTTTGTTAGCTCACCACGCCCTCACGTGCATCCTGCGGACAAGAAGGTTGGCGGTACTTTTTGCAAAACAGCATTTTCTTTGGTTCAATTTAACTAAGAAAACAATGTTTTTTATTTTTAAATTACAAATGCGTATGTGTATCATACATCACCCGAATGTCACTGTCACCCTGCCCAGAATCCAGGGAAGCCAATCCCGGGTTGCCTATGGTAACGTTCAGCTATCCGGGATTGATCTTATTTAGTGCTCTATCGCTTTCTGTTTCACGCTTTTGTTCACTGCTGTGTAGTAAATTAGATGGCAGCAGGTCATTTGTTCTTGTGGGAGCCAGGGACAACAGACAACAACCTTACCGACTGCGCTTGGTAGGAAGTACGTCGCCTCTACAACCGGAACATGACAAGTATTGCTTTTATTATGAAATAAACCAGTGTTAGTAATCATTTTTTTTATTGTTACTAACACTGGTTTATTTTATAATACAAGCAATACTCAATACTCGTCATGTTCCAGTTGTAGAGGCGACGTACTTCCTATCAAGAGCAGTCGGTAAGGTAGATGCCTGTTGTCCCTGGTTCCCACATTCTGTAAACAGTTCGAATTTGCGTAACAGTTTCCCCAATTATTAGGGTAAGTTTTGGGATAATTTGAGCAAAAGGTGTCTTTTGTAAGCAAACCCCCAATGCCCCACACTTATCTAGGCAAAAGCTTTCAAAGGCAAGTTTAGTGCCATTTTGGCGAATTAGGTTAGCAATTGTTTAATGGTGGATGAGATGGACAGTGCATGTTTGGCGGCTTGAAAATAGTAAAATTTTCCGAGACTTTTCGCTTTATGTGCGGAATATTTGTGTTTTTCGGAAAGCAGACGCATTTATGTAGTGTTTCGTAGTGTTTTCCCGGCCGAAAAAGGTATGGGAGCAGAAAAAATCGATCTTTGGTTTCTGACGTTTGCTGTCAATTGCAGGCACAACCATAATATGCTACCAGTCACAAACAGGATTTTTCCATTGTCAGAAAATAATTTTTTATTCGAATGAATCTAAAAGTGCCATTTTTCGATCAGAAGCGATGATCAATTCTTTACTGTTCATTTGTTTTACTTTTTCACACGGACTTTTACGCACGTGTGCGCAAGAGTAAATGTGACAAATTAAACGTGTAGTATAAAGTATTTTCGGGGGCGATTTGGAACAAAATTCACATTTAGAGGAGGAACTGGTCACAGACGTTGGGACTTTTTCTTCAATCCGGTCTCGGTTTTGAGAAATCGATTTTTTGGTGTTTCGTCGGACGATTTTCACATACATTTTTTTTTACTTTAATCAAAAAAATAAGCTCTTTATGGAAAATGTGGACCCTCCCAGAGTATCCACGGATGACTTTTCCAAGAGAAAAACTTGCAAACGAACAAACTGCGCAAATTCTGGGCACGCCACTGGATAGAGGCGCCCAAACCGCAGAAAATAACGCATAATTTCTTTTGTTGCAGTAAAATGCCCCATAATCGAGCCATTGGATATTTTCCAAAAAAATCTCCAAAACCACAAATACTGGCAAAATCTGGAGCACGCCACTGAAAAAGCGACTCAAAATTCCCAAAAAAACCTCGCATGGAATTTTCCCCGGAATCCCCATGTTCAAGCCTTTTTTGAGAAAACTGCCAACATTTCCCCATCCATGGTTGACTTTCTAAAAAGGACATTTACTTCTCTCTAGAATGATGTACAAATGAGCGTTCATTTTGCCTCCGAGATATGAGCAAAAACGGGCCGGAAACCATGAAATTTTGGCATAATCTTGCACCTAAGTGTTTGATATTCAAATTTCGCTTTCTGGGTCAAAACTACTCGAATTTCGAATGGTTCTTGATAAACTTGGAATAAAGGCCATTTAGTTATCTCTGGAATGATGTAAAAACGAGCGTTCTTGCTCATTTTGCTTCCGAGAAACATGCAAAACGGGACGGAAAACATGAAATTTTGGCATAATCTTGCACCTAAGTGTCTGATATTCAAATTTCGCTTGCTGTCAAAACTACTAGAATTTCCTCACTCATCTTGCTACGACTGAATCGACTTTTCAATTCTCTATCCAACGATGCCAAAACGAATTCTGTGGCTCGAATGGTTCTTGAGAAACTTCGAGTAAAGGCCATTTAGTTATCTCTGGAATGATGTAAAAACGAGCGTTCTTGCTCATTTTGCTTCCGAGAAACATGCAAAACGGGACGGAAAACATGAAATTTTGCAATAATCTTGCACAAAACGACGATCATTTTTCTAATTTCATAGTTAACAGAAGACTGTATTTTTTCTACATAACCCCCCCCTCTGACTTTAAAGCTGGATCCGCCCCTGCTTTTCGAACTGGGAAACATGTTTGGGCGTCTTGCGGTTGAACTTTGAAGAAATGCGTTTTGGGAGCGATTTAAAAAATATATTGGGCACATCTAGAGGAGAATCTGCCCTTTCAGGCTCCAGTACGCTCTTTGTCTAATCCGGTACCTATTGGTTTTGAGAAATCGATTATTTTTAATTTTGTCCGGCGAATTTCACAATTCGGTCAAAACGTTTTTTTACCCGAAAACAGTAGCGCGTACCACAGAAATAAAAGAATGCTTTTTTCTTCAAAATTGAACAATCAATTAAGACGTGTTTCGTTAAGCTTTTGTGGACTCATGTATTTTCGGGCTTTTTTATATTTGGCTAAGGTATATTTATCTCTGCGGTACTTATTTCTGAGACACCCCCTGTATATATTCTAATAAAAAATATACTACCGCTTGATCTGTACTCCATACTTTTCAGTTAAACAAGCCCTGATTTAATGGCACTTATGCAAGAAATAACACGCTTATTAGTCGATGTTAAGCGGACATTTCTAATTTATTTTCTATAGAAATGGTAACAACAATCTATGAACTGAAATCGGCTTGTTATCAGTCGGTAGCATCGATTCTTTATGTCGTTAACCTTTTCGAAACATTAATCAAACATTTCAATCATTTGGATCGGACTGAGCGGCATCAAAGGCCACATTTCTTTAAATAAACCCTTTAGGTATCTTTCGTTCAATATCAGGAAGCAAACGAGAAAATCTTCAGCCGGGAATGAAATGTTTGATGTGTAATTTAGAAAAATGTTGGACATTTTTTAAGTTTCCGAGTACTTGAATAATAACGAAAACCGTCGGGAACTTTCAGAAATTTCGAGTTGTCTTTTGGAACTTGTGAGGGTTCCATGTGTGAGTCTTTGGTTTCGTAAAAACCGAGTTTAAAAATCCTAAGATTTTTCCTTTACTGGACTTTGACGATTTTGTACCAAAAATGTTCAATTGCAATCGCGTTAAATCAAGACTTGAAGTTAGAGTCATAAAATTGAGCGCAGCTGAAAATTGCTCTCACTTAAATCAACCATAATAACGATTCTTCGAGGACTAAGGTCGCTAAGGAGAAAACTCTTTTAAAAATGCCGGGACTACCGCTTTGCTGAAGTACGATAATGATCTTTTAGTCTAGTAGCCAAGAGCAATACTATTCTCGTCAACTAGACTGACTCACGAAACAATAGGTCTTTATTGGTCGTACTTTGTTATAGATTCAGGCTGTGTCCATAGTCGGACTAAAAAGCTACTTTACACACTGCCACAGATTTGTACCTGTTGGAAAGTGACTTATTTCACGTTCATTTAGATAGAAGTCGCTTTGCTTGTGGAGATCCTCTTTGAGCAATTGGAGATTTTTTAGGACTGAAAGCCTGAAAAGCACCACCAGTTTCACCCAAGAGCCGCACAACTTTTTTCAATTTCCCTTTGATAGTTAATAGGTTTTTATCACAAAACTCTCGTTTGCTTAGAAAATCTGGGTTCTGGCCAATTTGTGTTATGCGGCGCCACTGGCTCAGCCGAAATCAAACTCTTGACCAGTAGTATAATTAGTCATTCCATTGCGATCTGATTAACATAACAACAAAGAACCCATTTGGGTACATCGATGGGAACCGTACCGGCACCACACCTTAAGGAGATACGAGATGGATGCTACCTTGCCATCCATAAACCAATGTCGGCATTTCGAAATCGTTTTTGATTTATTTCGCTTTTGGACTGGCTGTTTTGCAGCTAATAAGTGATGAATTATGCACATATGAAGCGAACATTTATTGGCTTCGTTCCTTAATCCCCATAATACTGGTTCATGTGTTCAAATTGTTTTTTTTAAACCTGCAACTAAGACCACTTTGCAATTTTTCTATGAGTTAACTGCTCTTTTATGTCTTCTTAACTGTCCTCTCTTAGTAAAGTTTGCAAGTTTATATACAGGGTTATTCACGCTATACATTATATTATTTTATGAATGATCCGACGCCTACCGAGCGCACATTTTAAAAATATTTTTGTAATGTACAGGGTGTCCCAAAAGCTCT